GTAACTCGAGCTGAAAGTTTTCGGGATTTTGGATCAGAGCACGAGGGGGGACGGAGCGTTGACTTCATTAGACGAGACCTCTCCAACTTAACGTTTAGGTTCAGTGTGCCTCTAACCATTCGGTGATCGCTGCCAGTTTTCACCCTTGCGATCACTGAGACATCACTGAACAGTTGGCGTCTGGTCGTCATAATGAAGTCAATCTCATTTTTTGTCGAACCGTCGGGGCTCGACCAGGTCCACTTCCTGTGGGGCCGCTTCTGGAAGAAAGAGTTCATCATAAAGAGTCCCTCTTTCTCCATAAAGTCGGCCAGCTGCTGGCCCCTTCGGTTCCGTTGCCCTACTCCAAATTTCCCTAACTTCAGCTCACCGCTTTCTCTTGTGCCTAGTTTTGCGTTGAAGTCTCCCATCAACACCGTGTAGTGGGTTTTGGAGGAATGTATGGCTTTGGAAATATCCTCATACATTTCCTCCACCTCCTCATCGGAATGTGCCGACGTTGGTGCGTAAACCTGTATGACCTTCAGCGAATACCGTTTGGTGATTCTGAGTATCAGGTACGCGACCCTCGTCGACACACTCTCAATCTGTACAACGTTGTTGACGAGAGACTTGTGGACGATAAATCCGACACCTCCTTGGGACAGATGGTCGCCCTCCCGGTGATAGAACAAGTTGCCGGATTCGAGAATCACCGTGTCCTCCCCCTCTCTTCGGACCTCGGATAATCCTATAATACTCCAGCGCAACTTGTCTATCTCTTCTTCCAGCTCCAGGATCTTCTCGTCAGTCCTCAGTGTGCGTGCGTTAAATGTTGCCAGGTCGAGTCGTCGTAGGTGGCAACCGAACCTCCACCGGAGATTCTTAGCACCCCCTGCCCCGCCATTACCATGGTCGCCACCGTAGCCAGGAATAGCGGGGCCGCCGGGGACTGGGGGCCGTCTATTTGTGTAATTGTTCATGGGGGGTATATTGCCATAGTTGCCACGCTTGGCGAGCGGGTTGGCAACCGCAGTTTTTTTTTTGTCGTACAGTTGCTGTTATCAGGAAGATGCTGCTGCCCATCTCCTGCCTGTCTCCCTCTGTCGCCTCTTACGACACCCACGGGAAGATATGGGGTAGTGGATATTCTTAACCGCCACTACACGGCAAATTTGAATTAATTAGATTAAAAATAAGTAAACCAAACCACAGATATTCATAAAAATAGGAAAATCAAAAAAATTGTTAAAAATGTGCAAACAATTGGAAAACAAACCACTGATAAACTTTTATTAAAAACAAAATTATCAATTAAATGACATTGTGTAACAAAAAACTTCAACTCAATGTCGAATACCGACACCTGGTGAGCGTAAGATTATTTGCACTCATTGGTAGTACTTATTGTTATTGCCATGACTCAATCTGTAATGTCCGTGAAAATTATTAAGTCTGCTGGTGCATGACAAAAAAAAGATTCCTGTGGGGTACCTGGGTAATCTTTCGGCGTTCTTTTTCCGCTCAGAGGAATTTCAAACCTCGAAAAACTTCAAAACGGTAGTAGATTTGAAAAAAAGACAATTGGCAATCAAAAATTCACCCAGCCCCATAAATACCGAAGATATTATGAGGCCATCCACGACTTTTCCTGCCACCAGAGCGGCGTCACTTAAAATGAGGTGTAATATTTGACAGATTTCATAGTGGAGAAGTTGGTAAGGGCTACTGTTTAGTTAGTTATATTTTGAATTAATTAGATTAAAAATAAGTAAACCAAACCACAGATATTCATAAAAATAGGAAAATCAAAAAAATTGTTAAAAATGTGCAAACAATTGAAAAACAAACCACTGATAAACTTTTATTAAAAACAAAATTATCAATTAAATGACATTGTGTAACAAAAAACTTCAACTCAATGTCGAATACCGACACCTGGTGAGCGTAAGATTATTTGCACTCATTGGTAGTACTTATTGTTATTGCCATGACTCAATCTGTAATGTCCGTAAAAATTATTAAGTCTTCTGGTGCATGACAAAAAAAGGATTCCTGTGGCGTATCCGGGGTATCTTTCGCCGTTGTTTTTCCGCTCAGAGGATCTTCAAACCTCGAAAAACTTCAAAACGGTAGTAGATTTGAAAAAAAGACAATTGGCAATCAAAAATTCACCCAGCCCCATAAATACCGAAGATATTATGAGGGCATCCACGACTTTTCCTGCCACCAGAGCGGCGTCACTTAAAATGAGGTGTAATATTTGACAGATTTCATAGTGGAGAAGTTGGTAAGGGCTACTGTTTAGTTAGTTATATTTTGAATTAATTAGATTAAAAATAAGTAAACCAAACCACAGATATTCATAAAAATAGGAAAATCAAAAAAATTGTTAAAAATGTGCAAACAATTGAAAAACAAACCACTGATAAACTTTTATTAAAAACAAAATTATCAATTAAATGACATTGTGTAACAAAAAACTTCAACTCAATGTCGAATACCGACACCTGGTGAGCGTAAGATTATTTGCACTCATTGGTAGTACTTATTGTTATTGCCATGACTCAATCTGTAATGTCCGTGAAAATTATTAAGTCTGCTGGTGCATGACAAAAAAAAAAAGATTCCTGTGGGGTACCTGGGTAATCTTTCGGCGTTCTTTTTTCCGCTCAGAGGAATTTCAAACCTCGAAAAACTTCAAAACGGTAGTAGATTTGAAAAAAAAGACAATTGGCAATCAAAAGAATTCACCCAGCCCCATAAATACCGAAGATATTATGAGGGCATCCACGACTTTTCCTGCCACCAGAGCGGCGTCACTTAAAATGAGGTGTAATATTTGACAGATTTCATAGTGGAGAAGTTGGTAAGGGCTACTGTTTAGTTAGTTATATTTTGAATTAATTAGATTAAAAATAAGTAAACCAAACCACAGATATTCATAAAAATAGGAAAATCAAAAAAAATTGTTAAAAATGTGCAAACAATTGAAAAACAAACCACTGATAAACTTTTATTAAAAACAAAATTATCAATTAAATGACATTGTGTAACAAAAAACTTCAACTCAATGTCGAATACCGACACCTGGTGAGCGTAAGATTATTTGCACTCATTGGTAGTACTTATTGTTATTGCCATGACTCAATCTGTAATGTCCGTGAAAATTATTAAGTCTGCTGGTGCATGACAAAAAAAAAGATTCCTGTGGGGTACCTGGGTAATCTTTCGGCGTTCTTTTTTCCGCTCAGAGGAATTTCAAACCTCGAAAAACTTCAAAACGGTAGTAGATTTGAAAAAAAGACAATTGGCAATCAAAAATTCACCCAGCCCCATAAATACCGAAGATATTATGAGGCCATCCACGACTTTTCCTGCCACCAGAGCGGCGTCACTTAAAATGAGGTGTAATATTTGACAGATTTCATAGTGGAGAAGTTGGTAAGGGCTACTGTTTAGTTAGTTATATTTTGAATTAATTAGATTAAAAATAAGTAAACCAAACCACAGATATTCATAAAAATAGGAAAATCAAAAAAATTGTTAAAAATGTGCAAACAATTGAAAAACAAACCACTGATAAACTTTTATTAAAAACAAAATTATCAATTAAATGACATTGTGTAACAAAAAACTTCAACTCAATGTCGAATACCGACACCTGGTGAGCGTAAGATTATTTGCACTCATTGGTAGTACTTATTGTTATTGCCATGACTCAATCTGTAATGTCCGTGAAAATTATTAAGTCTGCTGGTGCATGACAAAAAAAAAAAGATTCCTGTGGGGTACCTGGGTAATCTTTCGGCGTTCTTTTTCCGCTCAGAGGAATTTCAAACCTCGAAAAACTTCAAAACGGTAGTAGATTTGAAAAAAAGACAATTGGCAATCAAAAATTCACCCAGCCCCAGGGGCTGGGTGAATTTTTGATACCGAAGATATTTATGAATACCGAAGATATTATATATATGAAGTTGGTAAGGGCTACTGTTTAGTTAGTTATATTTTGAATTAATTAGATTAAAAATAAGTAAACCAAACCACAGATATTCATAAAACAATTGAAAAACAAACATTGATGATGATGATTGTAATTGCCATGACTCAATCACAAACGTATTATAATGGAATCGTAATCTATACAAATAAATAAAATTAAAGTGTCTATTTGTAACGTCAAAATAACTGCTTTTTTCTAATTCCACCAATAATGCTTCAAATAATACTCCTTAAGTAATTTTTAAAGACTGTAAAGATTGCGCTTGCTGAATGTTAAGTGGTAATGAATTCTAAAGTCTGGTTGCTTGTCAAATAAATGACTTATCATAAAATGAAGTTACATAAATGAAGTTACTTAAAACAAAGTTCTTTAAGGCTAAGACTTTTGCCATGCCATGTACCGCAAATTGCGGTCATGAAATTCATGTCGATAGTGAATCTTGGAGATTTCAGATTAAAATGTACACAAAAAAAGTATAGAGTAATTTGAGAGCCACTCACTTGGGAGCCACTTGAGTTGTTTTCGAAATTGGGGTATATGATCATATTTGCGTAAACCAAATATGAATCGAATGGATATATTCTGAAGACGCTCAAGCTTGTTTAATTGCTCCACGGTAAAATCCATGGTATATATATATATATATATATATATATATATATATATATATATATATATATTTTTTTTATGAAGGCTTCTGTTCTGCAGTGGACTTCGATAGGCTGTAACGTATAAATGAATGAATGAACATTTTACTGTATAACACTACAAATTAGAAATTTCAAAAATCTGTATTTTGACGTTTTTTCAACTCAACCCGATGGAGTAGGTTATATTATTTTTAAGTGTATGTAGTGTACGTTATATAAGATACAGTTGTTTATATTATTCGTAAACCAATCAGTCCATCCATTTGTTCAGACGGTCAGTTGATCAGGTCATTACTGACGCGCGCAACGCTAGCGCGCGAAAATACATCATCAAACAAATCATAGTAGTCTCCTTTTAAAACATAAGAATGCTATTCTTTATCACCGTTGTTGTGCTGCTGTCCAGTGTTCAAGCCAATCTCTACTCGGATTGCGGTATTTATATTATATGTTTTATGTTATTTTAGCATTGCGGTGTTCTCTTTTTAGGATTCAGTTGTCAATAAATAAAACACAATGATTTTATTACCTTGAAAGGGAACTTGCATCGTTATTCTCTTCTTTGGGGTTATTCAAGGGATCCATAAAATTTTGTTTATCTTATTTATATTAAAATTTGTCTTCAATATTAATAAAATACCTACAAGTGTAATTAAAAAGTAATAATTTCTTTTTAGTTGTGATGAATACATATTATATTACAAGTTTTATTTTTATGTACCTATGTCAATTAAATTTTGTAATATTCGAAATATCAAGCTTCTAGCAAGTGCGACTTAACTACCACCTACAACCTTTATAACACCATTGTCATTTTTAAATATTAAAAAATATTTAAATAATCCGCATAAAAGAAACTTTAATTTACGAGTATCACATATTGCGCTTGGCTCATTTTTATTATCTGTTGTTTGAAACTGTTTATTTATAAACAAATTATTAACGAGCCAGGTAAAAAAGACTAGTTTTTACAATAATGTCGGAGTACAAATACCTAAAAATTAAATTAATATTAAAGTTGATTTCTGATCGTTTTAAGATAATTCTGTTAAAAGTTTTTCAAATAACAATAACAAAAAAATCCTAATAATAATAACATAGTAAAATGAAAATTTATATTTTCTGTTGTTTTACTACTTACTGTACTATTATTATCTTCAATGCATGGTAGAATTCACAGGATGCTTTGGGTGTAATCTCGCAGGACAGGATTATAGTGCCCAAGTGTATGCGCAAGCTCAGATGCACTCTATACCTTCACTCTCATAATCTGATGGGACTGTAAACCGACACGACCGGAGAGAGATCAGGCACGGGGGTGAGACACCGCCAATTTCCTGACTCCGGGCAACTACTGAGAATTTCTTGACGGAAAAACTCAATAATTTTTATTTGACCTGACCAGGTCAAAAAAAATTATTATATATGTAAATAGAGATAAATAAATATTTAAAATACTAACTTTAAAAGACGTAGTAACATCCGTAAACGAATGTCAATAGATTTAAAAGTTTGTGTTGACCATTTTTTTAACATTTTCCACATTCTCAGTCTCTTTCAGCAAAATAAATACGAATTTTATTGCGTTTAATTAAACTTTCCCGACATTTCAAGTTTTTGTTTTTAGCGGTTGCGATTATATTTGATATTAAATACTATCAGATCACAAGAACTACATATTTTGACGTTATAGACTCGAGTCTGATTTGGATATTTATTTATTTACCTTTCAAAAAGGAGGTGCTCAATTCAACTGTAGTTTTTATGTACTCGTATGTTACTTCAGAACTTTTTTCTAGTTAAACTTGATTGATTGATTCATTTCTTATTTGAAAGCTGATGCTTTTCATGTGCTCCCACATAAATTTGATCTGATCGAGATCTGGTCAGTAGTTTTTGAGTTATCCTACATCCATACATCGATGATGTACTCAATTTATTTATATTGAAGTCTGTTGTACTAAATTTTTAACTTTACCACTTGTTACTGTGTGCTCGTTGATAACGGATAATGGTGACACATTATCCTATAAAAATATACTACTCTAATATGCCAAAATAATTCTCTAATTAGATGTGTATTCATCCCTGAAGATCAATAAGGTACAGGTAGCTCGTTACCAGTAAAAAGGGTAACGGGTTCTGTACACTCACCCTACGAAACACAGCAGCATTATAATGCTATGCTATGCAGATAAGCAAAAGCGTGGTTCTACAACTGTCTAGATCGTTTCGCACATCATTGAGAATGGATAAAGGTGTGTACAGACCACATTATCAGCTTACCATCGAATAAAACACAACACTTATCTGTTTTAGTTACGAATAATATAATCGTAGTAAAGATTGTTATACAAAAGAATTCTTAAAAGTAAACAAAAACCAATATTCAATATATTTTAACATATTTCTTATATTTCCTCTAACCATATTGTGTAAGAAATATTATATCATTCGGTCAGAATTCAATATTTATTAGTCAAATTTATGTTTAGTGTTTAATATACAATTTACGATTTACCATCGATATATTCAATTTAGGCAAGCGTGGATTAAGTTTTAACATTCACCGACAGGTGTGACTGTTCACCATTTACTGGTCATTTTCAACCGACTTCAAAAAAGTAAGAGGTTCGCAATTCAACTATATTTTTATGTGTTTGTTACCTCGGAACTGTTGTCGAGGTGAACCGATTTTGATGATTCTTTCTTATTTAAAAGCTGGTGCTTCACATGTGCTATTCTAGAAATTTGATAAAGATCTGACCAGTAGTTTTTGAGTTATCTTTAATAATGCGTATTAAATTGACTTCGACTACATTGATGATGTTCAATTTTTATTTATATTGACGTCGGTTGTACAAAATTTTTAATTTTACCACCATGTAACAAATGTAACATTCACCGACAGTAGTGAATCGTGCGTGTCCGAATCTTTATATTGATACCAATGGTCGAAAGAAACTCCGCATGTATCCTCTTTTTGTGACCATTGACATTGTAAAATTTATTTATTTTTAAAAGTCCCGCTGGGTTTCTTGCCCGTTCTTCCCAAGACAGAGGTTTTTTTCGAACCAGTGGTAAAGTAAAAAATTGACTTTCAATAGGAATTACTTGTAATCTATATTAATAAAAAATTATTCTATTCTATTTGTCATTTTTTTAAAAACTTTCAAATAATAAATAGATATTCTTAATCAAAATGAAAACGAATATCAAATAAAACACAGCACTTATTTGTTTTGACCCCTAGGTAACCAAAGCATGATCTATGATAAAATTACGCAATAAAACGAAAAAACAAACATACAAAATTATAGGTAGGTATTAAATGTGTTGCAAACTCAGACCAGTCACAGTCACAGGTATGTATGTGGCAGCCATTCATCAACGACTAACGACTAACCACTAATAATTATTTATGCTACCTACATTCTTTTAACAATTATAGTGCCTGTAATGGACTGTTATAATGATAATGATGTTATGAAGATTCTGAACTAAGTTTACTTACAAGTAATTCAAATATCTATATTTATGTTATATCTTATCTCTTTATATTGAATTTAATTATTAATAATAATATTGGGCCGTCACAGTAGGTATTAAATGTGTTGCAAACCCAGACCAGTCACAGTCACAGGTATGTATGTGGCAGCCATTCATCAACGACTAACGACTAACCACTAATAATTATTTATGCTACCTACATTCTTTTAACAATTATAGTGCCTGTAATGGACTGTGATAATGATAATGATGTTATGAAGATTCTGAACTAAGTTTACTTACAAGTAATTCAAATATCTATATTTATGTTATATCTCAAATAATGTTAGTAATAAACAGTTAAATTGTAATTAACAGCACATAAAATTACAAAAATAACCATTACTTCAATGATTGTTATCTTCTTGTAATTTATTGAAGTAAAAAATGTTATAAAAATTGTAATAATTTTTGAGAATAATAGACGAACAAAGAATATGTATAATCATTGTAGGTAGGTATTATAGATGAAATCACGCTTCGGGCGCTCATTTTTTGTTCATTTTTTTGCTACGTTAAAAAGATAAAGACATGATAATCATTTAATAAGCGTTGACTGACACTTTTTGTCATAAAAGGTGTTTTAAAATTTATTTTAAACATATTCGGTATTAAATAATGTGTTAGCCTCGAAGTAAAATAAAGTTACAGCCTATATACGTCCCACTGCTGGGCACAGGCAGCCACCCCATTTCTGAGAGGGTTGTAGGGCAAGGAATAGTCCGCCGCGCTGTCCCAATGCGTGTTGGCGAACTTCACATGTCTTCGAAATATTTAGCCTCGAAGTAGCCAAGCAAAAATGAACATACTGGCAAAAAACTTAAATAAAATTTTGTGCATTAGAGCAAATAAGAAGTAGATACCACACAGTTCATGGGTAGGTACTAAGTTTTTTGTTTATTGTACACACTATCACTAACAATTAACTAGGTATTTATTTAACAAATTAAATAGGTATATTTTCTTTTCTATTTCAATTAATTATAGATAAATGTATTAATGAAGACATATATATATATATATATATATATATATATATATATATATATATTGATAGATAATATTTCTTTACTCTGTTCCGAAATATATCAAGAGAGGAACTAGTACGTATGTCATGTTTCATTCCATAGTTAGCTTGACTGCCCTTACAGTAAAGGATCCACCACATCGACTTGACAAATGAAAAGGGTTTACTCAAAACGCTTGCGGTGATATGGAGGTGCAAGAGGATTAAAGAGTAAAGAAATTATATCTCATGTAAGTCTCGACGTCTACGGATAGGAAGCCATTTTAATTGGGCCCTGTACTCTGAAACATGATCAAACTTACGAAGACCGAAAACAAAACGTATACACAAATTTTGAAGGTGTTCCAGTTTGTTCAATAGTGCCTCCGAAACATCCGGAAATGTAACATCAGCGTAGTCAATGAGAGGAAGAAGAAGTGCTTGAGCTAAGACTATCTTGGTTTTTAACGGTAAAAACATCTGGAGGCGCTTTAGACATTGAAAAAAGTAGTTCACCTTCCTGCTAATCATATTCATGTGTGCAACCCAAGACAAATTAATACTACTACTAAATTAATAACTAACTTCTTGGCAGTCTCTGTGAATGGAATCTGATTATTATCGTAAGTTACAGCTACGGTCTAACAGGTTAAGCATATGTGAGCTGACGATAATAATAATTTGGGGTTTAACAGGGTTAACAAGGAGACCAAAGGATTTTGCTCAACAGCTTATGCTACTTAAGTCAGCATTCAGCTTATAAATATAAACATTTCTTAATTGAAATATTAATGTCTATTAAATTAATTCTACAGTGTGGCGCAATTGCACGTGCATATTTAAAAAATAGATTACAATAAAATACAAAAGGTACGGTTAA